TATGCACAACAATGAATCATGGAACACTACATCAAAAACTAATGATGTAATGTATGGTGATTAACATAACAAAAAAAACATATTTGCACCAAGGGTTATCAGATACTTCTACACTGCCATTAAATATTGTAATATAATACCTGCTTTGGTTAATCCTTTAAAATACCATGAGTGGTCTAATTCTTGAAGACCCAATATCGCTTCATTAAAGATTTTTTTTTATAGCTCTGGTCAGCTTGGAGAAAATACAAAAGACAAAGGAAAATAAAGACGCCAATCCCAGTCTACTTTCTCCATTTTATCTTTCCATAAGCATAAATGTCACCTAAATATATCCTTACAACAAAGAAGAAAGGCACAATTGTGCAACTAACAAAGGGAAAAGGGAGTTCTTTATGAAATTTTTTCTTGTTGATTCTAAATATCTGCTTATGCTGCTGTTGAAGCCATTATCATTTTCCCAAAGTTTTGCTGAATAGATGAGATAGGGTTGTATTCCATACTGATCTTTATTGCAACACTGTTGCACTACGTGATGTAACTCTCCAGTGGAAATGTTTTCAGTAAAACTGTCAAGTGACATCCAATTTAAAATATAGTATGAGGCAACCACAAAGAAGAAATTTAAGGAAAGTCAAAAGCAAAAAGGGCTCCTTGTTTTCCTTCAATTCACTTAAAAGGCCAGCATTAGAACAAGTACCCACATGGAGGATGAGTAACAGTGACTGAGATTTTTATGAAGTAAGCATTTTATAAACTCCAGAATAACAACACTCTGGCAGACAGAAAGTTGGCACATTCCACCTGGTGCTTAATATCAGAAAATTATAAAGTTCACATAAATATACCCTCATTCACTGTTTGTGACCATGGCAAGTCCTATGTCTGATACTTCTAGCCAACATAGCCTCCTCCAGTAGCCGAGAACATGAGAACTTTTTATGGCATCTTTAGCCTCCTTAAGATGTTTTCTTACCCAGGATTAATTTATAGCAATTATGAATATGTAATTAATATGTAAAGCTGTTCCAAGGTACCTTCAGGTAGATCATTTTTTGCAGAAATGTTATTGTATTCAATGTCCCTGAATCACATAGTATTAATTGAGGGGCCACTATGGTGCAGTATACTCTGTGCTTTGGTAGAAAAACAGCACCTCATCCTTGCCTTCAAGGAAATTACAGTTGAATTGTGTTGACTATATTAATCCACAAAAAATAATTAGAAAACCATATAGCACAGGACATAGTTATGTGCTTATTGGTATAGTAAGAGTAGCCAGTATTCACCAGAAAGAGATCAACTAGAATAAAATAACAGAATGTGATTAAAGACTTTGTCTAAACCCTTCCTTTGAGATGCTGTGAATTAAGGAAGGTTTGCTCCACTGAGGAAGTGGGATTTGAATTAGACCTTAAAAAATGAGTAGACTGAAAAAAATGCGAAATTAGAAGAGATTTAACTGAATTAATTTATCTCACTTTTCCCAGTTTTGTATGAAGACATACACATAACCCATTCAATTTTGCTTTGTCAAATAATCCATAAATACATAAAGTATATGTGATTAACAATGCTTTTAATGCCAAAAGACAGCTTATTTTCTTAATCCAAAGCTCACTTTATGTAATTATTCTTTTTGCAAACTAGTAGTTGGTTATAACACTTGAATAATCTTGACAAGAAGTTGCTTTAAGCAGTTAAAGATCCAGATGCTGATCAGCATGCATTAAGTGATTCAGCTTAATTGGTTCCATCTAGATAAATTACTTACCTCCGTTCCTATCACAATTTCTTCTCTGGTAGAGTAGAATAGAAACTCATATAGCTTGTAGTGTTGAAATAAGCTGAAATACAAAATAAATGTGCAACTCTGATAAGTTTATTTTAGGAAAGAAAACAAATATGTAAGAGTATTTATTAAAGGAAAGTTGTTCATAGTGACCAAGCGAAAGACATTAAACACTAATATAGAGTTAGCTACATCTTTTATTCCAAATGAATTGTCCAGAAATGGTGAGAAACTAATGATTTACTTTTTTGAGACATTGACAGTATAACACAGTACCTAATATAAGATCGGTAAATTAATCTGTGATGAGTGGATAGGTTTGGGGTAAGGGAGCAATTAGATTGCATCTTGACTTGTTTTGGTTGACAATAAAGTGGGTGTAATGCACTGCCCCTAAATAACACCAAATTTCACATTATTTTTCATGTTTTGCTTCAAACTGGGGTCAATTTCCCTTGGAATGAATGGCACCGAATTCTATAATCTACTTCCATTATCAATTACTTCTCATGTTCTCAAACTGTTTCAAGATTAAATTAATCTCTGATAACACCTGAAAATGATGCAACATGAACTGAAATCCATTTAGAAGTTGTCTGGTTTTCTTGTAGAACATTTGATCACATGTTAAAGAGAGGAATTAATTTAAGAAAGATAATTTCTTCAGTTTTTACCCAAAGACTAGGTGGTCAGTGTATAAAAACTGTGATGAGCTATAGGATAGGAGTCTTAAAACAAGTTTTTCTAGTAAGTTTAAAGATCTCAGCAATGTATTATTGAGAGTTAAAAATTTACTGAAGGGCTGATTTCTAATATCCTGTTTGTGATAATACTTGAATTTTTCTAATTCTCTTCCTGCTGGTTGGGAAAATTAATAGACTCATAATACAGCAAAATGCCCAAGAACAAAAAAAATTGTCTTAGTGGTTTCTCTTTCACTCTGGTGCCTTTTGCTATTTAAGAAAATTGATTTTAATATAACTGAGAAATTAACATTTGCAAAATGTAGCTACAGAGCATGTATAATAATGGCTTCTCTGGAATGCTGTAATGCATCAAAGTTTCAATTCATTTGAAATCAGTGAAGAAATCCTCAGGCAGATGGGTCTCTCTGAGGTATATCAGCAGTTGATTTCACTACTAACACAATCCATTAAAAAGTGATGGGTATGCAGACTCAGTCATGTTTTTTGTTTTTTTTGTTTGTTTTTGAAAAGAAAAACCTCATGTATTCAAATTACTTATCAACTCTCAGAAAACTAACTTAGCTTTTGACATTACTTTGATTTATTGGCTAGAAAATACATCAAGATTAGTGAAGTTTGAAGATTCAATGAAGCAAAAGAAATTCAAGTTCTCCTTCCCTTACACTGCTTACCTAGAGAAAGCTTTAAGGTTAAAAATATTACACTGGCAATAACTGATTTTGAGCAGAAAAATTAAAGACTGTAGAGTATTTGGAAATAACTTGGCTTCCTCTCAGTGAATTCGTGTAAAATTTTCCTTCCATCTCATGTTACACAAAGAAGTTAATTCATAAATCTTCCTTCCTGCAATTTTATAATCTTTCAGCCTTATTCTCCTCATTACATATAGGAATTAGACTGTCTCATGCCAAAAAGGAAATTCCCTTCTTACAATGAAAATAAAATTCATGACTTGGATGCAATGGTCAAAGATGCAAGTTCGGCCAAGGCCAGGACTAGGGTAAAACAGATGAGGGGAGGGGGACACCTAAGGAGGAAGCACTTTTCAGGGCCAAGTCAATTTGCCTCCATTGCCTCACTCTGGTCCCCATATTGGCTGAGGTTCTCTAACTTGACCAAAGAACTATTAGATGACTTCCTATGGGAACAAAGTGACACTTCTGCTATGGGAATACATTTCCTCTTTCTCCTTTGCTAGGAAGACTTCCAGCTGACTCAATTCTCTAGACTATTTTGTCAAACAACTTGTCTTAGTTCTAAATCAAAGGGAGAAATAAAATGGGTCAAGACATCTGGGCTCCATTCCAGGAAGTAAGATACCCTGTTGTGCAAAGAGGGACAGTTTTGATTTTCTTATATTGAGTAAATACCTGTGCACATTACCTTCACCTAATTCCCAAGGAAGGGGTAGAATACACAATGACAGAAACTTATGTGGACCAGATATATCTAAATGATGTCTTATATTGAAAAGCTGCAGTAGCATTTATATTTGTATATACAACATAAAATATATCAATGTATATATTGCATGAGTAGATTGGTCAGTACTTACAGCAATGTTAGAGAGGAATTTTGATATTAGTTTTTTTTTAAATCACAGACACATGATGGAATATACAATTTAGATTCTATGAACAGTATCAAATAAAATTTTAATTTTATTGCCAGTTAAGTTTCATGTGCTATAGGTCATATTCTAAAAACTACTCTCCCTAAATTGATGAGGGCTTTCACTGGTTGAGTAAATTTAATATCAGATTAAATTGAAACATGCTTATACTTTCAATAATTGAGTTAGCTTCATATTTATAAAACTTCTTTGTAGTCATTAAAATGAAAAATATTATGATTTAATTGCCATTAAATTTATATTTGTGGACTTATGAGTCATTCTAAATAGGAATTGTAGAAAAGGACATTTTTCTTTACACAATTTCAGTATCAATTCTAGATATCATACTAGCTGATATTTTATTTTCTGTAACAGATGCATTTAAAATGTACAATATCTTTGAAATCACAATATGAAGATTTAATGCATCAAAAATAGTTCTTATTTACTTTACATGGGAGATTAGTAATCTTTCAAATATTACTTTTTTGTTGTTGTTTTTAGAAATGAACAGCATGGGTTTAGCTGTTATGGTTAACTATCAGTCCTGGTGCCCATTATAAACCTCCAGGGCTTAGAGCTCAGATGTAATGTGTTCTTCAAAGAGAGACCTGGTGGTCTCAAATAGATAAAGGAGGGAAAGAAGGATGCTATACAAATGTGCAGAGAATTCCTCTCACCCAGTGATTCTGATGGGCAGAAAGACCTTGGGGAATGGTTTCTCCAATTCTGGATTTCCACTCCCTTCCTTCCTCCCACACAAGGACCTTGCTTCATTCTAGTTGATATGAAGAGTACTGTAGCTTTTAGTGAGAGACACTCATTAGGAGGTATATGTTTTATATTAAGAAATCAAATTATATCAAGTGCTATCATATAAAAACACATTATATCATATACTATTAATTCATGCCAGAAACCAGTATATAAGCATTATCAAATTAAACATGTTAATATTTAAAAAGCTTCCAGACTACAGCCAGGATCCTTGCCAAGCAAATCATGAGAATGTCTAGGACATCATGCAGCACCCTTTATTTTGGAATTTTAAAACTTAAAATTGGAAAACACTGCAGTATATAGTAATGGAGGAAAAAAAGGTATTCTCCAGAAGCTTTTAGTTAGGCAAAAAAATATTTTTACCAACTCTTGTTTAAATATTTGCTAATTCTAAAAATGTTCCTTGGGAGAGATGCATGCCCTAATGCAGACCTTGTGACAGATTATATAAAAAGACAGATTTCTTAGTTCACCCATGAAGAATCACTGTAATAAAAATACTTTCCCTCCATTCACCATCATTTTCTAAGCATAAAGAAAAACTTAATGAGTTTAATTGATCAATACTACAAAATATTTCAGGGCACAGAATAGACTTGAGGAAGCTTGCACATAAATCTCTTTAATTTCTAATACAAAACATTTAAAATAAATCTTTAAAAGGAAATGAATGTTATTCTAAAATGTAAAATTTTGATTTCAAGGCCAACTACTAAAATATATAGTCTATTGTAATCAAGTCTGATTAATCTGAAAGAATAATGTTGTTAATAAAATGATATTAATTACAGATTCAGAGAAAAAAGAAATTTTTGGATAATTTATTATAATTCTAGGTGAAATTGTACTTATTAAACACAAACCTTTTTTTAAGACTGGAAGGTTAGCCAAAAACTCAATGTCCTGAATTTTATTTATTGGATGAAAAATTTTAATATTATCTCATTGGCTGAGTTAATTACAGCATAAATTCTGTAAATGCCTAAAATTTGAATTCATTTCTATTTAATAGACATTTTGTAAAAGATAATGAAATGAAAACATAAATGCTACTGAAAAAAAATCCATACCTGATTTTTAAGTAATCGATGACAGCATTGGCTTGTTTTATATTAAAGACATTCCATTCCTCATTTTTCTGTGAATGGGATGGTCCTATTTCAGCCATAACTTCTCCAAGCCATTTTATGCTGTCTTCCAAGGACATATGCAGTGCTAAAATAAGATCCAGAGAAGTCTTAAGCATTATTTTGATAGATGTTGGATCTATCAAACATAAGGACAATCCAAGATGTCCTTAATGTGCAAATATTTACTTTTTCAATATTTGTGGGGACAATGGTAATAGCAATGTTTTTAATAAGTTAATAATTACATTTTGTGTAAAAGAATAGCAGCTGACACACCCAACAATTGTAAATTACTGTAATGCTACACAATTGTCTAAAGATTTTGTTTCCATTTTAAGATGCAAAGATAATTTAAAATCTACCTAAAAATTACTTTAAAATGGAAAATATAATTTTTAATGATCTTAGAACAAGAGCATATATGGAAATGACACAAAAGTTGTTTGGATTAGCTGGTGAGGAAGACCTACATGGTAGATTCAGTTACTGTAGACAGGAGAGTTGAACTCAGAACTGAAAATGTAAAAGAACACAGTCAACCAACACTTGGCTTTGGCTGATTGTTAACATGTGGGAATTTGGGACTGAAGATTTTCAATAGATGCCAGAAATATGTATTTTTATGTAAAACATCAAGATATTTTTTTCTTTTCCAAGCTACAGACTTATAACTTATGTAAGCTGTTTCTCAAATGTATGCGTGGTGGTGGTGATGAGAGCCAGATGACAGCGCCGAGTGACGCTGACACCACTTTGCCACCATTACCAAAAATAAACAAGTCAATGATTGTGGTCTCTTTTCTTGCAACTAAAAACAAACAAAAAAGCAAAAGTATCTTGCATGGCATATGTCCAGTTGAAAAAAAAGTAGATAAATGTCAAGAGCCTTAGACTTAACATTTATAGCATCTATAATACAAACAGGAACTTCCATCTTCTTTTTCTATTTAATTATGCTCATTTTTACTTGTGTCAGGCAAAATATTACATCACACACACACACACACACACACGCACGCACACTGACAGGTGACAAGTGTAGAGGTAAAACTGAAGAGTCTGGAGGTGGAGAGCTAAAAGTCTCTAGCAAAGATGAGGTTGCACCAGCTTCTTGGAGGAGGTGTCAGCTTGGGGCCTGGAGGAAGGCTCTGGGGAGCACTGTGCTGTTCCATGTGAGCCCCACCTGCCCAGTCAGTCCCAATCAAATCTCTATCTCTCCCAGGAAACCATCAGTAAACTTTCCACTTCTTGCTAATGGAGCGAATTTTTCAGGGCAGCAAGAGGGGGTAATGCACAGGATTTATGAGAACATAAGCTGATTGTTGGACAGAGCTTCCAGTTACACAGCTACTCTTTCACTCTGGGATGTGTTATGACCCCAGATTACTGATAAAATGACAGTAAAGCAATTAAAAATTTTAGGAAGACACTATAAGCACTAATTTGCAATTTGTTTCTTCTAGATTCTTTTCTATCTGTAGGAATTAGAATGAAGCAAACTATGTAACAATTAAAAACTGGTTTAATGGAGGGCAATTGGTCCCTTTTTCATAGCTTCCCTCCAGATCGTCTTTTATATATGTCAGATACATGAATTATTGCTGGATAACTGGGCTTTCCTATATCATTCTAAGGGGAGCTCAATTATTATTGTGTATTTCTTTTCCTATGATAAACTTCTTTTGAAACATTCTTGGGATAATTTCAGAAATGAAATATCTGTTGGATAAAAGCAATTCAAAATCAAATGGGGTGGGAGGGATGGGGTGGCTGGCTGATGGACATTGGAGAGGGTATGTGCTATGGTGAGCGCTGTGAATTGTGTAAGACTGTTGAATCACAGACCTGTACCTCTGAAATAAATAATACACTATATGTTAAAAAAAAAAGAAGATAGTAGGAAGGGAAAAATGAAGGGGGGGAATCGGAGGGGGAGACGAACCATGAGAGATGATGGACCTTGAAAAACAACCTGAGGGTTCTAGAGGGGAGGCGGGTGGGAGGTTGAGTTAGCCTGGTGATGGGTATTAAGGAGGGCACATATTGAATAGAGCACTGGGTGTTATATGCAAACAATGAATCATGGAACACTACATCAAAAACTAATGATGTAATGTATGGTGATTAACATAACATAATAAAATTAAAAAATGAATGGATTAAAAATCTGAATCATTTTATTACTAAAATGGTATTAATTAGAGATGCAGAGAAAAAAGAAATTCTTAGATAATTGATTATAATTCTAGATGTAATTACACTTACCAAGTACAAAAATACATTTATATGACTATTTCCTTATGTTGAAATATAATTGACATTTTAAAACTGTTTTTCTATTCTCATGTCTTTCTATAGATAACGGCTTTAAAAATAAGAAAGTTATCATTTCACTTATCTAACTGAAGTATTTGCTCTTTTAAAAATCACATTTAGTGATGTGATTAAAATATGAAAGATTAAACCATTTAAATAGTAAGGGCTGTTAGAAATAAAATTTATCTTTGAAAATTTAGGGTAATGAAAGAACATGCTAGACATAATTAGTTGGAAGACTTAAGATAGTACCTTATAATTGCTACTGACTAGCTAAGTGATCTGAGTTTCATTTTCTATATCTATAAATGAGAATAAGATCAATTTTCAAAATTATAGTGCTGTTGTGAGGATTAAATAAGACATGCATGCCAAATATTTGGGAAACTGAAATGATATGTACACTAGTATATTACGTATGTGTAGTGCTTTCTAGAATCAGCCTAAATCTGGCAACATTTGATATAGTAGTAGGGAGGGTGAGTTCTCACTCACTGGGGCTGATGCTTGTGACTTTAAGAAGTTATTTAATCTTTCTAAATCTCATTTATTTTTCTCATTTTTAAAATGGGGAGAATAATAGAACTATTTCAAGGTTGTGTGTGAATTAAACAAGACAGAATTTGGAAAGCAAATGCACTGTGACTGGCACAAGTCGATCCTACCAAAATGTTACCTATTATTATCATTCCTATTTAGGGGAAAACAGTCAATTTCATAGAACTAAAAGGTATTCTATGGTTATTTGCTAATAGTCATGTTATGTACAGGGGAATAAATCTAGGCCCATGGACCTGGACAGAGGTCAAACACCCAGTCTAATACTTGACAGCTTGTCCTCGGTTAGGCTCTGGAAAAACTAGACCCCAAGATCGATACTGTTTTTTGTTTGTTTGTTTAAAGATTTATTTATTTATTTGAGAGAGAGAGAGAACAGGAGTGGGAGGAGCAGAGGGAGACAGAGAGAGAATCTTCAAGCAGACTCCATGCTGAGCGCAGAGCCCGACCTGGGGCTTGATCTCAGGATACTGAGATCAGGACCTAAGTGGAAACCAAGAGTCAGTTGCTCAACCGATCGTGCCACGCAGGCTCCCCAAAATGTATATTTTCCATGTTGCATAATCTTTTAGTTTGATCCACTCTGATTCCAGGTGGGTTGTCTGCAGTATGCCTTGTAGCACAAGTTTGAGACAAGGAACAGATCAGAAACTGAATCAGTAGAAAATGCAGTTCCCTCACTAGAATTTTATTAATGGGCAACCACGCTACAGCTAACAGCCCCAGCTACATTCTTCAGTGCTTTTTCTAAATGTTGCTGGATGGGAATGTTCACTGTGGGCTCAGGCCACTACCACCTCTTAGTTTAAGTGTAAACAGACTTTACCTCCTTCTCTGGCATGCTTGGCTAAAATTATATTCTTTCCTGATGATAGTTATAACCTTGTTAGGTTTAAAGGTTTAGGGGGATTTTTTTTTTTTTTCCTGCCAAAAGGAGAAACTAGATCCCTGGCTTTTTTTTCTGGTTAGGTTTTACATATGTACTTTCACTCTCTCCTAGTTTATGAGTAGCTGGATGGATCCCGCTCAAGTTTTTAAAATTCATTTTTTAACTGATATCAACAATATAAAATTTAACACAAAAGAAATATTTTCAAGTCAGTTGTAAGTTATGGAAACAATTTAAAATGGAAATATCTTGTCAAATTTGGAATGTGAGATTCATGAAAATGTTTTACTTCTCTTTATTCTGTTTCTAGTTTGTGAACACTCAGCTAAAAGGTTGCAAAGCATAGGACTGTTCATGTCATATTTTCTTTTTTACAATTTAATTTTTGCATAGGTGATATATTCACATGGTTCAAAAACCATATGTGAAGATATATTGTGAAAAGACTTCCTCAACCTTTGTTGCACACATGCCTAGTTCCCACACCCTTCCCTACAGAAAATTTTTCCCCAGTGTTATTGAGAAATAATTGACATATGTCATTGTGTAAGTTTAAGGCACACAGCATGATTTATTGTGAAATGATTGCTGCAATGGGTCTAGCTAACGTCCATCTCATATAGATACAATAAAAAGAAAAGAAAGGAAAGAAGATAAAGAAAAAAATGTTTTCCTTGTGATAAGAACTCAGGATTTACTCTTTTAACAACCTTCCTATATATCACACAGTGGTGTTAACTGTAGTCATCATGTTCATTACATCCCTAGTACTTATCTTGTAACTGGAAGTCTGTAACTTGACCGCCTTCCACCTCTGATAACCACAAGTCTGATCTCCTTTTCTATAGGTTTGGTGTTTTGTTTCTTTGTTTTTTGTTTTAAATTCCACATGTAAGTATGATTGTACAGTATTTGTCTTTCTCTCCCTGACTTATTTCATTTAGCATAATGCCTTCAAGTTCCATCCATGTTGTCACAAATGGTAGGATTTCTTTGGTTTTTATGGATGAATAATATTCCATTGTTATATAAACACCACAACTTCTTTATTCACTCATTCATCAATAGACACTTAGGTTGTTTCCATATCTTGGCTATTATAAATAATGCCAACGTGGGGGTACAGATATCTTTTTGAGTTAGTGTTGTAGTTCCCTTTGGATATACTCCCAGAAGTGGGATTGCCAGATCATATCATTGTTCTATTTTTGTTTTTTGAGGAAACTTCATATTGTTTTCCATAGTGTTTGTACCAGTTTACAATCCCACCAACAGTGCACAAGGGTTCCCTTTTGTTCACATCCGTGCCAGCATTCGTTATC